CTTATAGTAGTTATATATATTATATAAAAAAAAACAATAATTCTCTAATTTCTAACCCTAACCCTAACTAATCTTAGAACCGGTGATGATCACCAGTGGTGATATGTAGTAATTTTCTTATTTAAAATATAAATTTTAATAATATTTACATTATTTATAAATACTTCAAAGTTATTCCATACCTCAATATTATAAACTATTGCAATTCTATCTTCAGATATAGATGGGTATTCCATAGGTAAAAGTGAATAAATAATTTCTTTAACTCTTAATTGTTCAGTAATTAAATATATTTCTTATTCGGATTCATCTTTAATATTATTTTTAGGGTCAATTATATATTCAGATTTATCTTTATTGTTATTTTCAAGATCAATTATAACCAGTGTTCGAAATTTCAGGCCTAATTACTGTTCTTATATGAACAGTATAATAACTATGAGTATTCTCAATTTGCTGTTTATGTTCTCACATATACTCACTAAAAAAAAAAAAAAACTACAACTAACTATATACCTAATAATATATCTTTTATCATCTAAGTATTATTTTATTTATCTATCGAATAGTTTCAAGATTAGGGAACCCAGTGATATTTTTATAGTTATCTTACCACATAAGTATTGTATAAGCACGAAATAAAACACAGAAATGTGATTTCAAATTTTGACCTAAATTAAGCTTAATTTGAGCCATTATTTAGAATAATGTCCTGCGCATTATTTCACACTTATATGGTAAGTGTTCAGCCTAAGTTAGAGTTAGTGTTAGGGTTAGGTGTAGGATAGTTTAGACTAATTATTTGCTAGTAAACAGTGACATCATTGCATGATTTCACTTGTGTGTGATGATTACTGAGTTCCATGTTCTTGAAGTGTCCACATCTATCTACAACTTATAAGAACATTATTTTTATTTTACTGTTCTCAAAAAATTTTTAATAGTGAACAGTAAAACATTTTTATTGTTCACAAACTTATAATTATGTTCTTATAAGAACTCTTAAAATACTAATTTCGAACACTGATTATAACTAATGACTATAAATAAATTAAATTTTTAAAATAATAAATAATAATTAAATTATTTAAATAATTAAAATAATAAATAATAATTAAATTATTTAAATAATTAAAATAATAAATTTGTTTTATAAAATTAAAAATAAATAATTATATTTTCTTGATAATAATTAGAAAATCCATATTCATTAAAATATTCTTGTGAATAATCAAGCTCATTAAAACTTTCTTAAGAATAACTCAATTCATTAAAAAAGATTTTGCTGAAAAATTATTATCAGGATCTTTATCCATTATTGTATTGTCAAATAATATTTCATCCAATAATTCATAATAATTATCTTCAGAACTTTTATCTTTTATAGTATTATCAGATAGCAATTCTTCAATTGGTTCATAATTAAATTCATTATTTGGTTTATAATTTAATTTATTAATTGGTTTATAGTTAATATCAACCAGATTAATGAAAGTACAGTTGCTTTGTTCATAATTAATATAGATATCTTCTTCATGGTTAATAAGAGAATTTATATCCATATTGAAATTGAAATTTATTTTAGAAAAAAATAAATTTTAGACAAATGTTTTTTTACTAATTAAATCAGAAGTGATTGTCAAAAAACTACAAAATGCATATTACCATTATTACTATTTATAAAAATCATACGATCAATTTAACTTTACTTATAATGTTTATCACTGATTAAACTTTGATATTCTCTAAATAACTCAATTTACAAAAAAATTTGTAGTTATTTATTTAATAATTGGCGATATAATATTTTAAAAAGTTTTAAATGCATTGTTATAAGCTATGTATATATGTATATATGTAACTGCAAATACAAATTTAAAATTATTAATATAGTATTAATTTTATTGTACAGATTCCTGCAGTATACGTATTTTCAAATTAATTTAAATCACAATGCAGTGCAACCAGAATTAAATCAGCAGAATTGAATTAATATCAAAATTTGGCTGATAATCAAAATTGAATCAACTAGCTTAATAAAATCGAATGAGTAAGGTTATATTTATAACTATTTTACCAATAATATTTTTAAAGATATTGTTGTCAGGCAAATAACATAAACCCAAATGGGTTGATATTAGCGAGGATAAACTGTATATTCTTATAAGAAGAATTCAAAGGCCCATGCAACTTCTACTCTTACTAAAAAAAATCAAAAATCAAAAATTTGAAAAAATCGATTAGCGGATAATGCAAAACAAAAAATTTACTTTGTGTGGCCTAAAAAGTAATTAGTTAAAGAGTGGAGTAATCAGTTAGACATTAATTTTTCTAGGAGATTTTTAATTTTTAGGGTACTTCGTAAGATGGACAAATCAGTTGACTATTTGTGTAATTATTATTTAAGGGTTCTTACTGCTAAGTTAATAATTTTCTATTAGATCTGAAGTAGATAGGTAATTGTTAATATGTATTATTACTTAATATTAAGAAATATTACTACCAAATTTTATTACGTAATAGTAATAATAAGTAAAAAAAATGTGGTGTTTGCAAAATGAGCCTGATCAGATTTTAAATTATATCATTTAAGTTGTATATGTGAATCATAGTAAGTAATAATCAGTCATAATAAGCTATAATAAGTACTAATATGTAAAAATATATAAGTGAAAAAAAATATTTATTACTTACTTATTATCTTGCCCATCTCTAATCTGGAGACTAGAAAAAAGGCCCAAGTTGAAAAATTCGCTAATATGGTAAACCCCAGTAAAGATGTGAAATAGCTCAGCTAAGCCAATCAATTTACTGTTTAGCTAACTAGCAGCTTGGCTTTACATGATGTGAGCTAATTTAGAGCCATAAGCCAATCAAAATGCTAATCACTAAAATATGAAATGTTGCAACTATTATACTATTAAATTTTTAGTAATGCTTTTAGTCAAAATTAAACTATTAATATATAGTAATATTTTCGCAATATCTTCTAAATCTGCATACATCATTACTTATATGTACAGTATTATAATTTATAAATGATTTTAAAAACACATTATACAATATAGAAATGCTTTATATTGCAAAATTTATTGGACATTAAATATTTGTTATATATTTGATATTTGCTTTGTAAATTCTGTATAATTAAATACTTGCTCTATAGCTATATAATAAATAAACTATTGCATATATATTATAGGTGGAAATGGAATTTAAGTAGATTTGGAATTTTATATAAAAAAAAAGCTATTTCGTCATATGTACATACTTTAAACTCAATATTTGGGTATACTTGTTTAGAAGTCAAGCTACGGTTATCATTGAGTTATTTACGATTTTTTAGTTTTCTCAATGAGAAAACAAAAAAATCATAATAACTCAAGATTTTACTATGATAACTGTAGTTTGATTTCTAAACAAAAGTTTTAGCACGAAATTTTAGTTATATAAGTATACACAAATATTGAATTTAAAGTATATACATATGTCGAAATGTTTTTTTATATAAAATTCCAAATCTACTTAAATTCTGTTTTCACCTACAACATATATATAACTTTTTTAATTGAAAAAATTACAAGTTAACTACAGCTTAGTCATAGTTTATTTAGCTTGCTCCAATTGGCTTAGCTAAAAAAACTAGATAGCTATGCGACGTTGTCGTGCTAAAACCAGGAATGGAGGTGTTTTGTTCAGCATTTTTTTCGAAGTTTAGAATTTAGGTATGATTTTTAAATATATGTTGTGAATTTATTTTGGTATTGAATTTGGTGGGATGCGAGATTAAAGAATCAATTGTTTAATTGTACTGGTGGTGTTAGTAATTGTTTTCTTAATTAATTTATATATTTGTATTTAATGGTTATAGCATAAAGTATAAAGTTTATAATAATTAATTAATTGTTTGAATACTGCAATTGTGGTCAAGAGTTTATAATTTTTTTGTATAATCTTTGTATATAGTATTATAGTTAAATATGGCAGAAGATTAATTGGTAGAAGGTACTAACTTTTTCTTTATATAAATAAGTACTCGTTTTTTGTTTTTTTTTTAAGGTTAGTATTGGTCTTGTTTATTTTAATAATTTATAGTATATGCAATTGAATATTTTTCACATATTGATTTGAATAAAGTAAGTGTATTGAGATTAAATACATATTCTTTGATATTTATATTTAGCTTATATACTTAGGTTGTGTATTTAGTAGTAATATATTCTTTTAAATAGTCATTTCATCTTGGTAAGTATGTTAATATGCAATTTTAATTTATACAAGAAAAGTTTTTTGAAGAGTGATATATCTAGTTTATGATATGGTGGTTTGCTAGAAGTGAGTTTAAATATAATGAGTTATGTAGTGTATCTCTTTAAAATTTAAGGCTGCATTTAGTTGTATCCAATTAATATAATTCTTTTTCATAATTTCAAGGGAAATAATTATTTATTATAGTTTGATATCAATTTTACGAATTCATATTAGAAGTTTTAATATGTATTAATATTTTTTTTATTTTTATATTAAATTAGATATAAAGTAATAAATTTTTTAAGTTTGTATATTTGGCCATTCTTCTAATTGTATAGTTTTTTGAGTACATTCATTTAAATAATTAAGTTTCATATAAAGTGATAATGGTAGTTTCATATTTAAGAAGGATTCTTTGAATAGTTGTAAAATTTGTATATCTTTTAACTTTTGCGCATGAGAAAGCATGACATAAGTGGTATTGTTTGTATTGTTTTCAGCAAGGTCAATAATAACTTTTTTGAAAGTTTGGCCTTGGCACTTATAATTTGTAAATGCAAATGATAGTGTTATAGTGAGCTGAAAACATTAAAAATTTTTTGAATTTTTGGAGCGTTATGCCTCTAAATAGTATGTACACAGTTGCATTTGATTGGGTAGACGGGTATGTGGTTAGATAGTAGATTTTCATATAATCGCATGTTGTATTAGTCAATTCAACTACAATGTATTTCAGTAGATTTTTTAATACAATTATTTTTTCATGAAGAGATGTTGAATTAGATCAATTGAGTTTATATCATAAACAATTTGTCAAATGATTCCTTGAGTTCTATTGGCTAAGTTATCATTTGTGCATATATTAATAGTTAGAATAATCTTTATACCAATAGATAAAGGTAAAATGCCACAAAGTACATTTTCATTTGTATTAGAGGTAGATAAGAATTTTAAACATGTTTGACTATTGAGGATATTTCAATTGTATGAATCTATTGTACAAGAGTATATGAGTGGTTGGTTGAAATGACATGCATATTCTTTTGTTGCATCAAAGTTGAGTTGAACTCAAATATCATTTCTTGTTATGAAGAAAGTAGCATCTTTTCATTCTGACATGCTGATCTGATTATCTCTAAGAATTTTTGATTGTATAATATTTTGTTGATTTTCTGAAATATTTTTATTATATATATTTTCAAAAATGTCAGCAAGTAATAGAACATTAATCTGTCTCATTGGTTTTTTTAAAAAAATTACATGTTTGATATTTAGCCAAAGGCTTCTTCCTATTGTATTTATTACTGTCTTGAAATTTATTGGTATGGAATTAATTGTATGTTTATTTTTGCATGTTTTGAGAGAATATCAAGATTGTTAAAAAGTTAGGAATCAGATATGGAATTGATTTGAGTGATTTTGTTTGGAATATAAAGTGCTAGGTCTAGGACTGGAGGTAATTGTAAGAAGTTACCTGCAAAGAAAATGTTTATACCAGCGAATAGTAAAAAATTATCTGTCACTTTAATTTTTTTTAAGAAGGCATGAAGTTGAGCAAGAAGTGTTTGGCCAACCATAGAAATTTTATCTATAATAATGTATTCTATTTTTGATCAGAATTTTTGAAACTGATGTAGTGATTTATTTGACAGTGTGTTTTTAAATATATTATTTCCCCAACTCTTCACAAAGATCACCTGGACCAAAAATTTTTCTGCTAAAGAACAACCAGAACTACTTGTTGGAGAGTCGTGGCCAATACAGTGGTTTGTCTAGAGGTCAAATACTACTCTCGGAAACTCCTTTAAAGAAGGACTTTCGGCATACAAGCCAGGAGTGTTATTATACAAAATAACTGGCAGGTGGTGCCCTTGTATAAAAAATCTTGGTGGAGTATAGGTGGGGTGGCCCAACTCTGTTGACAAAGCTATTAAGTCATTACTTTAATGAAGAACACAGGGGAAACAACAAGAAGCTCTGCTTTTTCAACACACTCATTTAAAAAATTTTGAAAGTACTTGCAACTCTCTTCTCTTATTTCTGCTCTCCTTCGGTTTTCCAAAATTTTTTTTCAAAAAGTGGGGATTTGGCTTACTCCCTCCAAAAGATTGACATTATTTACATCTCAAATCCAGAAAGCCTAGTAGATTATAACCACATGTTCGGTGGATACAGTGCTACTAATTTGGACAGGTCCTAAGTTCTAGGTCAGAACCAAATATTCCGGAGTTGGTTGTATGGTCGGAAAGAAACAATGATGTTAAGGCAAAGCTTTATAGTAGAGATATACAAATGTTGTATTTGTTATATA